CCCCCGGCCCCGCACGTACCCGCGCTCCCCAGCTTCCGGGCCGCCTCCGGGGCCGCCGTGCCCCCGGACCAACTCCACCAGGAGCCTCGGGCCGCCCGGAGCAGGAACCCGGCATTCACGCCGCCTCGAGCCATGGAGGCGGCCATGACAGGCGTCACGTGACCCGGGCACCGAGCATGCGCGGCGCCGACCGCCCGTAATACCTGGAAGAGACGCGCAGGCCGCGCCCCGGCTGGCCGGCAGCTGGGCGGGAAGCGGGGTGCGTCCCTGGCCCGAGGACTTGTGTGGGTGCCATCCTGGACCCCCCACCCCGGCGTCAGTGTGTCCCCAAGAAACCAGCCAGCTGTGATCTCTTTAAAACCGTTTACTTACAAACTTTAATTCAGCAAAGGTCTCTGTGTGGAAAGAGCGGGGAAGGCACCCCCTGGCGTGGCCGTGCGCCCGAGTCCCGGGGGGAAGCGAGGGCCCCCCCGCGTGGACAGGTCCCGCCGGTGCCGGAGCAGGACGGGGTGTCCTTGGCCGGGAGGACGCCAGCACCTAGGGTGGCTCTGTTACAGAGCGAGGCTGGCACCTGCTCAGAGGCCAGGCCGCAGCGGGCCGCTGCTGGGGGGGGGGTGTGTCTGTGCCTAGGCTTGGGGGGAGGGGGGAGGCTGCCAAGACCAAGGCTTTGTTTGGCCTTCGGTCCGCATGGAGGGGAGGATCTGGCGAGAGGGGGGCCCAATCTTCAGGCCAGAGATGTTTGGTCCTGAGTCAAGCTTTGGGGGGGGAAGGGGGAAGGGAGAGCTTGGCGTCTGAGAAGCTCTGGCTGGCGAAGCCTGGGGCCCAACTTTAAGGCATCAGGAGGTGAGGGGGGAATCGCAGCAAGGGGGGGGTACTGGCCAGAGTGGGCTTGTGGGGGCCGGATACCGCCATGCCCAGCACACACAGGGGAGAGAGTGGAGCCGCCAACCCCGCAGTGCGCGCTGCAGGCCCGGCAGAGATGAGCGTCCTTGCAGGAATCAGAGCCGGGGAGGGGGCATCTCGATGGTTAAAAAACAAAAAAGGAATCATAAAAATTATAAAAGAAAACCAAAGTCCATTGTCAAAAGTTAAAAAAGGCCAGACAGTCTCTGATCCTCGCGGGAGGTCAGGGGCCTCCAAGGCACTGGAAAGGCCAAAACACAGGAGTGATGAGGCGAGGAGGGCGGGGGACCCCTGAGAGCCGGGCGGGCGTGGGAGGAAGGGCCCAGGGAAGGAGAGGGCAGGCGGGTGCCTCTCTCTTAAGGCTGCAGGTTTCTGCGCATGAGAGCAGGCCCGGACATGGGGGGGGGGCTCCCAAAGCCCTCTTTTTTCCTTGGGCTCCAGTTCCTTGGTCAGCAAAGTCTTTCCCGAGATTTCTCTTAGTACTGAAAGAAAATTGGGGGGGGAAGGAAGGGGGAGGGACATCCCATAAAACCCAGGAACCCCCCCCAAAGCGCTGTGCTGCGGGGGAGGCCCCTTAGAAAATCCGCTTCCGCTTCAGGTAGGAGTCTGCATAGTGGCCGCCGAGGCCCTGCGAGTGCTGGCCCACGTAGCTGCCCTCGGGGCTGGGCTCGGGCGAGGGCAGCAGGTGGGCAAAGCTACGCTTCTGGCCGCCCAGCGGGGTCTGGAGACAAAGAGGACAAGAAGGGCTGCATCAGGGAGGGGGGCGGGGGAGGCAGGGGGGCTCCCCAGCCCAGTGTGTCCCCCCACTCCCTGCCAATACCTTCAACAGGGGGCTATGGCCATTGGGCCCAGGCCCAAGGCCCAGGAGCCCCTCACTGGAGCCCAGCGGGGAGGATCCAACAGCCTGGAGAACGGGACAGGTGGGGGGGGTCACTCTTGGGGCAGGAGCTTCTCCACTAGGCAGACTCCACTTCCCAGAGCCTCAGTTTCCCCATCTGGGGGCTGATGGGGAAGCCGGAAGTGTGGCATTCTGCACACAGCGGGCAGGTTTGATCCCTGGCACCCCAGCCACCCCAGCATCCTGGCTAGCCTGGGGACCCGCTTCCTGCGGGAAAATGTCCCTCCTCACCTTGCTGAGGTGGCTCTGTTTGAGGCCGGCCTGCAGGCCGCTGGTGAAGTAGGAAGTCGGGGAGCCCGAGTAGAAGTGTGAAAGAGGGGCCCCGCCTCCTCCGCCACTCCGATCTCCATAGCCACTGGGTGGGGGGGACATCTGCAGAGAGGGGTGGACTGACTGAGGCCACTGGAGGGGCCCCCAAACAAGGCTGAGTAGGACCCTAAAGAGAGCTGGCAAAGCAGCTCTCCCCTCATCTTCAAATGAACTTGGGCTGGACTTGGGATGGTGGGGCCCCCGTGGGCCAGTGACCAACACCTGGGGGGGGGGTCCCCTGACCTTCAACAGCCTGGGGACAGCCACTGAGCCGCTAGGGAGCGAGCAACCAAGGAAACCACCTGCCACGCTGCGGAATGGCAAGAAAGGAAAAAATGTCCGCAGCCAGGCCTGGTAGCACACGTCTATAGTCCCAGCTACTCAGGAGGCTGAGGCACAAGGACCCCAACAACATCTCAGAAAAAATAAAAAAAATAAAAATAAAAAAAGGCTACACAATGATAGAGCAAGGAGTCCGCACAGCCACAGGGCTGAACGCACAACCAGCTCCTACCTTGTGCCGGCTGGGTCTGTGAGCCCCCAGGGCTGGCTCCCGTGCGTGGGGGAAGAGCCGGCGAGGTCCCACGTCCTGCAGGAAAGGCACAGGAGCAGAAGAGATGAGGTTCTGTGCCAGCCTCACCTTGTCTCAATTTCACAGCCTGGCTGGCCCCATAGATCCATGTCCTTGCCCCCGCCCCCACCAAAGGCAAATTTGGTCCTGAAGTGGCCACAGAATCACAGATGCGGCCACCCATCCCAAGAGCCACTGTGGAGGACAGGAATCGCCATGCATGAATGTTGACAAGACTGGCGTGCGTGCATGCGTGCGTGCCTTCTCTCTCCTTCCTCCTTTCCTTCCTTTTTGGGGGGCACTGGTACTAGAGGTTCAAAGTCAGGTCCTGGGTAGCACTGTCCCTTAGCTTTTTTTGCTCAAGGCTGGCAGTCTACCACCTGAGTCACACCTCCTTCTCGGGTCATTCTGCTGATGAGTTGGGCACAAAGGAGTCTCACAGCCAGGGGCGCCGGGGGCTCACGCCTGTCATCCTAGCTACTCATGCTGAGATCTGAGGACCAGATCTCAAAGCCAGCCCGGGCAGGAAAGTCCATGAGACTCTTATCTCCAATAAAACCATCAGAAAACCAGAAGGGGCGCTGTGGCTCAAGCGGTAGAGGGCCAGGCTTGAGCTGAAGAGCTCAGGGACAGTGCTCAGGCCCAGAGTTCAAGCCCCACAACCCACCATAAATAAACAAAAGAGCTGGCCAACCCCAGGTCCGCCGCAGGAACTCACCGAAGGGTAGTCGAAGCCAAAGCTGTCAGGCAGCCCTGGTTCAGGGGGTAACTGGGAGCTGGAGAGGGGGCTGAGCAGGCGGGACTTGGGTGGAAAAGCTTTGCTGCTGCCCCCTCCCCCCGCGCTCCGGGGAGGGGGTGTGGGGGCCTCGGGTGGGCGGCGGACTCGGTTGCCACCTCCCCAGCCCCGGGCCTCACTCCCTGCCAGGTTGCTGGCAGGAAGCAAGCTGTGGAGGTTCAGGTAAGGGTTCAGGGGGATCCGATAGTCCTTGGGGGGCTCCCCCAGCAGCGACACCTGGGAAGAAAGGAGCAGATTTACAAAGGTCCCAGGCGGAGGGGGTGGGGGAAGGGGTGGAAGGCGCTTTACCCCAGTGGGCGCAGGCAGGGCCCCGCTGTCCTTCTGCAGGCCTCTGACTCCTTGGCCACGGAGCCCCACAGGGGCAGGAGGTGGGGTGAGCTGGGCGGCCGGGGGACCCAGACCCATGGTGTCCCGGTCGCCCGCAGAGGGGCCCAGCAGCGGTGGCAGCAGGGGGGGTGGTTTGCCCCGTCCGGGCAGCAGCTCTGAGGGCAGATTTCCCCCTATGGAGAAGGGGGGGGGGGTCAGGAGCCAGTGACCTCGGCCAAGGCCACGCCGTGGGCTTCTGCCAGTGTTGGGGGGGGGGCGAGGAGGGGGGTGTTACCTGCAGACAGCTCCCCAAGGAGAGGGCTGGCCGTCTGGGTGCCCGGCTGGAGGGTGCCCAGGGGTGAGTCTCCCAGAATGCCCGGCTTCTAGAATAGAGCATAGTCAGCTGGAGACAGGCCGGTGTAAGCTGGACAGCAGACGGGCTTGGCCGCCCCATGCCAGCCTGGGGGGGGGGGTGAGGCAAACCCACAGTGGCACCCACCCACGCCCCACGGCCTCTGCATGGGCAAGGGACGGGTGTGCAGGGGAGGGGCCTGAGCAGCGCCGCGGGGCGTGGCCGCCGCGGGGCGTGGCCGCCGCGGGGCGTGGCCTCACCTTCTGAGCCTGGCTCTGGCTCTGGGTCTGCAGGGCCAGCTGCAGCAGCGCTGTGGACAGGGCGGGCCCGCTGAGCAGAGGCATGGCTGGGGGGGCTCCCAGGAGGCCTGCGGGGATACGGGGAGCTGGGTGCTGGCCCGCCCTTCACCCAGGCCTGCTGACGGCAGGACACAGACCCTCGGAGGCCTTGTGGCCGTGCTGGCAGGGCCCAGAAAGGGGAGACGAACCGGCCCCTCGCCCCTATTCCACACCCACCCCAGGCCGCGCAGCCTCGACTTACCCTGCTTGCCGCCGGCGCCACCCTGGAGTAGGGGGTTGAGCAGCAGCTGGAGGGAGGCGGATGGGCCCAGGTTGCTGAGCAGCTGGAGGATGTTGGGCTCCGGCAGCAGCCCCTTGCCCCGATTGAGGGCCTGGGGAGGGGAAGGGATGGTGGCTTAGAGGGCTGGCAGCCACGCTGGCATCTTGAGGGCGCTCCCAGGCCCGTCTCCACTCACCGTGGCCTGGGCAGCGATGAGTGCGGCCAGCATGCTGCGGCCTGGGGGACCGGGGGCACAGAAGGACACGCGCAGGTGACTGCCGCCCAGGGCCAGGCCGTCAGCCCGCTGCTGGGCCTCCTCCGCCATCTCGGCCGTCTCGTACTCCAGCACGGCGAAGCCCTTCAGCTGTCCATCCTGGCCGCACGCGAGCTGCAGGGGGCATGGTCATGAGCCCAGGGTGCATGGAGTGACCACAGGGGCCACGATGGGGCTCTAGGTGGTGACAGTGACCCCTCCTGGGAGGCGCAGCGGGGTGCCATTCTTGGTCTCCAGCCCTGCTTCTGCCTCTGATCAGCAGCTAATCCTGTGACCGGCCTCCCTCAAACCCACGGTTCAGAGACCTGAGATCTGCGCATGCCCAGGGCCCCAGGGCACGCAGGAAAGCCGAGCCAGGCCCAGGCAGCTCTGCTGGGCCTTCTGCTGCCAGGAAGTGGGCAGGAGTCTGGAGTCTCGGCGCAGAACCACCAAAGCCAGACAAGAGCCATCTCTCCACACGCCCCACGACAGTCACCAGGCTTCATACCCACAGCCCTTTGTCAGGACCCCCGGGGTCAGAGGTATTACAAGAGGAAAGCGGGCTAGAGGCTGGACTGGCCTAAGGCTGCACACATCGCGTGCATAAAATGCGCTGCACTGCTGGGTGCTGGTGTCTCCCTTGTCGTCCTAGCTACTCAGGAGGCCGAGATCTGAGGATCGCGGTTCGAAGCCAGCTCGGGCAGGAAAGTCTGTAAGACACTGATCTCTAATAAACCACCAGAAAACCAGAAGTGGCGCTGTAGCTCAAGTGGTAGAGCGCTCGCCTTGAGCTGAAGAGCTGAGGGACAGCACCCAGGCCCAGAGTTCAAGCCCTGTGACCGACCAAAAAAAAGCCTGTATACCCCAAGTCCCCCAGGGATTGTTTCATAACAAGGTACGAAGTGCAGGGCCACAGACACTGGGCATGGTGGCATAAGCCCATCATCCCGACGCTCAGGAGGCAGAGGCAGGAGGACCAGGGGTTCAAGGACAGCCTGGCTACATGGTGAGACCTTGTCTGGGAAACAAAACCAAAAAGTTACAAATGATCCACTTCAGGTCAGGCTGTACCAAGTGGACCCACCACGAACCTGGGGAACTCGCTTCTTGGTTTTTATAGCATTTGAGGTGCTCAAAGTGTGGGTGGGGCCAGGCGCCAGTGGCTCACGCCTGTCATCCTCGCTACTCAGGAGGCTGAGATCTGAGGATCGTGGTTCAAAGCCAGCCTGGGCAGGAAAGTCTGGGAGACTCTTTATCTCCAAAGAGCCATCAGAAAACCAGAAGTGGCGCTGTGGCTCAAGTGGTAGAGCACTGGCCTTGAGCTGAAGAGCTGAGGGACAGCGCCCAGGCCCAGAGTTCAAGGCCCCACAACCGACAACAACCACAACAGCAGCAAAGTGTGGGTGAGGCATCCTTTCCTGTCCCAAGTGACTCGCGGGTGACAACAGAATGATTTAGGTGTGAAGATAAGATCCCACTGTGTTGCCCAAGTTCATCGCAAACTCTTAAGTTCGAGTGATCCTCTCATCTCAGTCTCTAGGTGGTTGGGACTACAGGAGTGTGATACTGTACCCAGGACCAATGCACAGTTCCCACACAGGCTGAGGACCAGCCGTGTCTCTAAGATGGAATAGCGCACAGCCACAAAGGAGTGAGAAAGAGCTTGTGTTGGAACACAGAGCCACACTGCAGACAAAAAGCAGGGAAGCCATTCAGGGCCAGTGGCGCACACCTGTAATCCAAACTACTCCTGTAATCCAAACTACTCGGGAGGCTGAGATCAGAGGATCATGGTTTGAAGCCAATCTGGGCAATAAAGTCTGTGAGACTCTTATCTTCAATAAAAACTACTCTGAAAAAGCTGGAAGTGGTGCTGTGGCTCAAGTGGTAGAGTGCTAGCCTTGAGCACAAAGCAGCCCAGAGACAGCACCCAGGCCAAGTTCAAGCGGGGGGGAGGGGGGGGGGCAAGCAGCGGGAGAGGGTTGGCAGGGAAGCCAAGCCAAATGAGGTGTGGCAATATTGGAGTTATGAGGTTCAGGGGTACAGTGCCTAACTAGCAAGCAAGAGATCTTGTGTTCAGAACCCCAGTACTGCCCGTAAAATGGGAGTTAGATGTACATGTACCCCATTTAGACAGCTACTTCAACCTGAGTATTTCTGCCCTGAAGTGCTGGTGAGCAGCTCATCAGATTTCAGGGTCACTCTCAAAGTTTAAGACGTTAGCATTCTCTAACCCCTAAATCCAAAAGCAGAAATCGGAACCGCTGTTTAGTATCCTGTCAGCCCGAGTTTTGAAGCCGGACACTAGTAGCTCACACCTGTAATCCCAGCTATTTAAGAGGCTGAAAAGGGAGGATCAAGGCCTGGGCTAGCCTGAACATAGGAGATTCTACTTCCTTGGCGGGGAGAAGCAGACAAGGTAGCAATCGCTTGTGATCCCAGGAGTTACAAGAAGTCTCAAGCAGAAAGGTGGCAGCTAAGACCCATGCCCAGGAAAGAGTCTAGATCTATCTCAAGAAGAACTAGTCACCGGGGCTGAGAAGGCGGCTCAGTGGTAGAGCGCTTGCCTTGCATGCATGAGGCCTTGGGTTCAATTCCTCAGCACTACATAAGCAGACAAAGCTGGAAGTGGCGCTGTGGCTCAAGTGGTAGAGTGCTAGCCTTGAGCTGAAGAGCTGAGGGATGGCGCGCAGGCCCAGAATTGAGGCCCATGATCAAAAAACAAAACAAACAAACAAAAAAACTAGTAACCATGTGCTGGTGGCTCCACCCCTGGCATTCTAGCTACTCAGGAGGCTGAGATCTGAGGATCACGGTTCAAAGCCAGCCCACGCAGGAAGGTCCATAAGACTCAGCTTCAATGAACCACCAGAAAACTGGAAATGGCACTGTGGCTCATTATTAGTAGAGTGCTAGCCTTAAGCTCTAAGCTCTAGCCTTAAGCTCTAAGAGCTGAGGAACAGAGCCCAGGCCTTGAGTTCAAGCCCCATGATCAACAACACCAAAAACAACTACCCACACCCATACCCAAATTCTAACAACAACAGGACTAGAGGCATGGCTCAGAGGGAGAGCACCAGCCTAGCACAAGGCCCTGAATTCAATACCACCAAAAGAAAAATTGTAGCCAAGTGCCAGTGGCTCACGCCTATAATCTTAGCTACTCAGAATTCTGAGAGCTGAGGATCCGGGTTTGAAGCCATCCTGGGCAGAAAACCCAGAGACTCATCTCTAACCACTCAAAAGCCGGAAGTGGTGCTGTGGTTCAAGTGGTCAGAGCACTAAGCCTTGAGCACAAAGAGGCTGAGACCGTGTTCAAGTCAAGCCTCATGACCAACAAAAAGGAGAGAGACTGGGCGATGGGTTCAGTGTCACCTGCCTACTTAAGAGGCACAGGCTGGCTCAGGACCAAGTTTCAGATCAACCTGGGCAACATAAAACATAAATGGGCAGGTGGCTCAGTGGTAGAGTGCTCGCCTAGCACGCACGAAGCCCTCGGGTTCGATTCTTTAGTACCAGATGCACAGAAAAAGCCAGAAGTGGCACTATGGCTCAAAGGGTAGAGTGCTAGCCTTGAGCAGAAGCAGCTTAGGGACAGTGAGTGCCTAAGCCCCGAGTTCAAGCCCCAGGACTGACAATAAGTAAATACATACATACACACATAGGTTTCACATTTCAGGGCATCTCTTAGATCATTGTGGGATCAGGGACGAGCAGGGTCACCCAGAGAAAGCTCTGGGGGTGGGGGTAAGGTCTTCAGGGAAGGACAGCACTTTAACCCTGGCCTTTCAGGACACTGAAATTGGTGTTTTTGGGGTTCTTTTGGTGGGTCCGGGGCTTGAGCTCAGGGCTGGGCGCTGTCCCTTAGCTCTTGTGCTCAAGGCGAGCGCTCTGAGCACTTTGAGCCACAGCTCCACTTCTGGTTTTCTAGCGGTTCACTGGCAATTTCCTACCAGGCTGGCTTTGAACCCTGATCCTCAGATCTCAGCCTCCTGAGTAGCTGGGATGACAGGCGGGAGCCACCAGGCTCACCAGGCCCAGCTGACACACTGCGTTTTGAACCGCCTGGCAGGCCCATTCACAATCAGAAGCAGCTTTGGGTTAACACCCCTGGTCTTAGGATATGTTTTATTTTCTGCTGTTTTTCTTTTTTTCCTGGTGTTGGGCCTGGCTGCGTGTTCTACCACTGGAGCCACACCCAGCCTGTGAAACGCTCTGTATTTATTTTCGAGCAGTATTTCATGCCCCCTGCCCCTGAACCAGCCAAGTTTCTAAGCAACTTTGTAATACAGTAACAGTTAGTGGAAGCCAACTGGCCTGCGAACCAGTCAGGCGCCCTTCCAGGTTCCCTGAGCTCCTCCTGAAACTCCAGGATGGCCAGCTCCCTGCTTGGCATCTGCCTGGCAGACGGCTCTAGGCTTGGCTCCTAACACAGAAACTGAGGCCAGCACCCGGACCCACTTGGTGGGGTTGTTATGAGTGCCGAGACGCGCCAAGGGGCTGCTGGGCTACCACTCCAGCACCTTCAGAGCACCCTGGCCACACATGCTGGTTTCATCCTTTGTTTTTAAATGCTGTTGGGAAGGACCCCAGGGCCTTTGCACATGCCAGCCCAGTTTACTCAGCGGCTTTCACCCCTAGTCAAGGGTAGGGCCAAAGCCTGGATGTAGAATCCTTCTCTTTTTTTTTTTTTTGGGGGGGGGAGGGTCTGGTCGTGGGGCCTGAACTCTGGGCCTGGGCGCTGTCCCTCAGCTCTTCAGCTCAAGGCTAGCGCTCTACCACTTGAGCCACAGTGCCACTTGCGGCTTTTTTCTTTTTGCTTATGTGGTGCTGAGGAATCGAACCCAGGGCCTCAGGCATGCAAGGCAAGCGCTCTACCACTGAGCCACCTTCCCAGCTCAGAATCCTTCTATTCTTATGAACAGATACACTCAGGGGCCAAAGGGTAACCAGGGTCACATGACTCCTAACTAGGGGGGAGCAGAGCAGGGCTGAGGCTCCAACCTGACCCGATACACAAGGCCTGACAGCTATTTGTAGGTGTGTTGGGGGGGTGAGGGGGGTGTCACCTCAAATCGGGTGCTCCCCAGGGGTTTCATAAATGTCTGGTGAGCAGCTGGGGTGTAGCTCAGTGGGAGAGCACTTGTTTAGCACACACAAAGCCCTAAGTTCCATCTCCAACACCAACTAGATCTAAAATGAGTAAGATAAGTAAATAAAATAGACGGACAGCAGGCGGCCCACAGCTGTAATCCTAGCGACTCAGGAGCTGAGGAGGATCAGCTTGAAGCCAGCTTGGGCAGTAAGAGACCTTGAGACCCTATCACAAAATGAACAGTAGGGCTGGAGATGTGGCTCAAGCAGAGCAACCAAGGCCAAGTGGTATCAGCAAAAAATAAGTGAATCACAAACAACAGTGTTAGTGGGTATATCATGGAGGAATGTACTACTCACAGAGCGCTGAGCTGGGCATGGCGACACATGCCTGTAGTACAATCCGAGCTAAGGCAGGAGGCTCCCACCTTGACCAGGAGGAGAGACCAGTGTGGGGAACACAATGAGACCTTGTCTCAAAAAAAAAAAAAAGTGAGCAGCAAAGCTTTACTATGCTTATTTCATGATGATGAGGGCCATGTGTGGGGCGCACGCCTGTAGTCCAAGCATGAGGGATTGAAAGGAAGGAAGCATGGGAGGATTCTGAATCCAAAGGCATTCTCCTCCACGCCCAGCCCGGGCAGGGAGCCCCCGGCATTGGAGAAACAGGCAACCCGAGGGAGTGTTAAAGCCTGGGGACCCAGGCTGCACCCCAGCCCCCGGGCGCCCCCAGCACCCACTTAAAAGTCAGGGGGCACTGCTTCATTTTGTGTGTATTGGTATTGGGGCTTGAACGCAGGGCCTGGGCGCCGTCCCTGAGCTTTTTTATTTTTTGCTCAAGGCTAGCACTCTACCACTTGAGCCACAGCTCTACTTCCAACTCTTTGATGGAGCTTTGGAGATAAAGAGTCTCATGAAGTTTCCTTCCTGGGCTGGCCTCGGACCTCGATCCTCCGAATCTCAGCCCTCCTGTGTAGCTAGGCTTACAGGCGTGAGCCACAAGGCCCGGCAGCAGCACCGCTTCATTTTCTAGGGGGCCCGATCGGAGGAGGCTGGTGACCGCCGAGGCCCGGCTCCGGGTCCCCGACGGGCCGGGGCTCACCTGGCAGAAGGTGGGTGTGTGCACGGCGGACAGCGCCCGGCGCAGGGCGTCCACGTCGCTGAAGCCCGGCGGCAGGCGATCGACGCAGAGGCAGCGCGAGTGGAGCAGGGCGGGCGTGAGCTGGCCCGCGTCCGTCCAGTGCACGTAGAGCGTGCGCGGGCCCAGCGGCTTGCCCAGCAGGTCCGACTTGGCGCGCGCGGCCGAGTCCTTCTTCATGTACTCGGCGAAGCCGTAGCCCTTGGAGTGGCCGGTGCGCTCGCTGTACACCAGGAAGCAGCGCTCCAGGCTGCCGAAGGGCCGCACCAGCTCCTCGAACTGCGCCTGCGTCAGGCTGGGGGGCAGGTTGGCCACGCACAGCAGGGCGTCGGTGGGCTGCAGCTGCACCGACAGCTCCCGCTCCCGCAGGTGGCTCTGGTGGAAGGCGCCGATGGCCGCCTCGGCCTGCTCGCCGTTCAGCAGGGTCACGAAGGCTGCGGGGCGGGGGCGGGGGGCGGGTCAGCGATGCCGGGCCTGCGGGGGGGTCCTGACCCGCTCTCCATCTGGTGAGATCACGGGTGCAGAGCCGCCCCCTCCAGCCCCGGGGGTCCCCCAGTCACCTGCCACTGGCGATCCGCACAGACCCCCCTGCACCTGCTCCCTGCCTCTCCCAGGAGAGAGGCGAAGAAGGCTGTCCAGAGCCACGCGAGGTGGTGCACACCCGTAATCCCAACCTCAACACAGGAGGATCTTGAGTTCTAGGACATTCCAGGCAGCTAGTGGTATAATATACACACATATGCACGCATGCATGTGTTTATGTATATATATGTACATACACACATACGTATATCATGTGCTATATGGATGGATATACATGTCATATTCACAGCACTCAGGAAATGGAGGCCGGAAGATCTTAAGCTTGAACACAGCCTGAACTACAGAATGAGATCCTAGCTCAAAAAAAAAAAAAGGTAAAATAAGCTGGGAAGCCAGTGGCTCACGCCTGTCATCCTAGCTACTCAGGAGGCTGAGATCTGTTGGAAGATCAGGGTTCAAAGCCAGCCAGGCCAGGATAGTTCATGGGGCCAACCACATACTAAAGAGCAGGAAGTGGAGCTGTGACTCAAGTGGTAGAGGGCTAACTTGAGCCAACAAAATAAATAAATAGAAAGTTCAGGGACAGCGCCCAAGCCCTGAGTTCAAGCCCCAGGACTGCCACAAACAAATAAAGAGCTAAATCTACGTCGCCCTAACTGCACCATCCTCTCCATTCCTCCAAACCAGCCTTGTGCCTATGTCGCATCCTCTGCCAGCCCCACACCTGCGTCTAGAAACATGAGAGACGAGACTCCAACCCAGGCCTCTAGGCTGCCTTCCCCAGGGAAGGAACACTGAGCCCCCACAAATCCCCGTTCAATCCTGCCTGCCCTCCTGATCCAGCCTTCAACCTCATATCTTCCTGAAGCCTGTCCTAGCTCCTCCGGCTCAGAATCCCTGCTCTCTCCACCCACTGTGCCTTTTCTGTCACTTTTAAAGGTCCCAAGATGCTTTTTTTATTCCTTTAATTTCTCTAAGACAAGGGTCTCCCTATAATAGCCCAGGCTGGCCTTGAACTCACAATCCTTCTGCCTCACGCTCTGGAGCGCTGGGATACAGGGGTGCGCCACCATACCTGGCCCATTTCACCTTCACATTTGCAACTATTTGAGTAGCCTCCTCCTCTCCAGCCCGGGCTGTCTGGTGGCAAGCCACGTCCCTGGTCCCCGGCACATAGTAAATGCTCAGTAAGGATTTGTTGAAAGGTGGCTCGAACAGAAAACATCATTCAACATCTGGAGCCCTGATGCGTGTGGCACAGGCCCCCACAGTCACAGATTAGCCAAAGTGGGCTCAAAGGACTGGGAAGAAAGGAGGTGTGGCTGCACTGAACATGGACAGATTTTTGTCATGATCTTTAGACTCTGCATGCAGTATTTACGTGGTATTAGCAACACTAAGTCATCTAGAGGTGCTGAAGTCTTGGGAGGCTGTGTTGCGCCCCCTGAGAGCCTGGAGCTCCAGAACAGGCCTGGACAGCTGCACCTGGGAGCCAGCAAGCACATGATTGGTTGATTCTTTGGCTAGTCATTATGCAGCCACAGCATTGGCCCTCCTCCTTGCTACCTGACGCAGCCTGAGTGGAGACAGACCAGGATCCCAACATGACGTCTCCCTGTACCTCCAAGATCTCAATCACTGACCTCACCCTACAGACTGTCAGGGAAGGCTGTAGAAGATCTTTAACACCTGGCACAATGGCTAACAGTGGCCGAGGCTGACAAGACCTTCCCAATTTCCTGGAGCTAGGTAGGAGGCAGGCCTATAAGCCAGCAATGACAGCCAAGGGTGGACAGTGTCATGATGGCAGGCAGAAGAGACAGCCTGGAACCTTCCTCGACACAGCTTTACAAAACAGGGCTAGGAGGGTTGGGAGAGTGGTTTTGAGGGAAAAGGATTAGGGACAAAATAAGACGTTGCAAGGGAATTAGAACAGGCTAGGGGCAGGCGTCTGCATGAGGCAGGAAGATCTGGGCACTGGTGACTCACTCCTGTAGTCCTAGCTACCCTTGAGGCTGAGATCTGAGAACAGCGGTTCAAAGCCAGCCTGGGCAGGAAAGTCTCTGAGTCTTTTTTATTATCTCCAATGAACCCACCAAAAAGCTAGGAGTGGAGCTGCAGTAGAGAAGCAGCCTTGAGTGGGGAAGCGAAGGGATAGTGCCCAGACTCTTTTGGATTGACGTTTAGGAGACAAGATATGACCCTCCCACCTCCAGGCGCTGTCACCTCCTGCCCAGACCCGCCCCACCGCCCCACCAACCTGTCCCTTTGTATTTGTCCACAAAACAGTACTTGAGCTCATAGTCGCTGAGTAGGTCGTGTACTTCCTGCAGAGACAGAAACCAGAGACAGAGTTACCAAGGGATGAAGGAACAGCTGGGCGCTTCTTCCAGGCAGCCCAACTACTAAGGCAGATGGATGACCAAGCCTGCCTCGAGATGCGGAACCTGAGCTTCCAACGAGGCCATTTCACCTGCTCGAGGCCATCACTGGCGAAGCAAGATTCAAGAGCCTGGCTGAAAGTCAGGGCACTGGTGGCCCCTACACCTGTAACCCTCGATACTTTGGAGGCTGAGATCTGAGGATCACCATTTCATACCAGCCTGGGCAGAAAAGCCCAGGAGATTCTTATTTCTAATCACCAAAAAGCCAGACTGGAGAGGGGGGGCTCAAAGGGTAGGGTAGGGTGCAAGCAGTGAGCAAGCAAGCCCAACAAGAGCCTAAGACCCTGAGTCTGAGCCTTAGTATTAGAGGGGGGAAAAAGTCTGAGCCCAGTGCCAGTGGCGTATACCTATAATCCTAGCTACTCAGGAGGCTGAGATCTGAGGATTGAGGTTCAAAGTCAGTGGGCAGGAAAGTCCTTGAGACTCTTCTCTCTAATCTCCAATGAACCACCGAAAAACCGGCAGTAGCACTGTGGCTCAAGTGGTAGAGCATGTGCCTCGAGCTGAAGAGCCCAGGGCCCAGGCCCAGAGTTCAAGCCCCATGACCTACCAAAAAAAAAGTGTCCACATGCTGCTCAGAAAGCAGACCTTTAAAAGGGAAGTTGTTGAACCTGTCTGACTTATCTGCAAGGCTGTTTCCTACAACTCTACAGCTAAATATTAACAAACCCATATCATGGGCAAAGAAACTGAGGCTCGGGGAGGTGAATAAATATGCCCTGTGCTGGGCAGTGGTCACAGCAGCAGAAATACTATCCAGCGCCACCTAATTGGAGAGGGTGCATGTATTTATGACTGTGCCTCCCAATCCCCTCTTGTTAGCAGGGCTGCCTGCCTAGCAGAGGGATAGGAGATGGAGACACTGGGTCTGACAACCTGTACAGGTGGCAGGAAGGGCAGCTGCATTCTGTGGACACTAGATGGGAGACCAGCCCCAGACCTTGTGGACTTGTGGCGCCCGGTCCCAGATTTGTCCCCTCACCCTCTTAAGGGCTCCTTCAGCTGTGTGTCCCATCTTGTGGGCAAAGTGGGCCGAGGAGGAGGGGGGGGAAAAACAGGGAGAAGGAAATCTATCCATTGCTAGAGATGCCATTTACTGGGTCCAAAGAGCAGGAGGAAGGGCTGTCCTGGGTAGGCGTAGTGGGGGGAGGGCATGGCAGCAGGAAGATCGGCCAAGGTGAACTCCGCGCCACGCACACAGCCTTTGCCTCTAAGATCTGAGATAGGGTGGCAGGAAACCTCTTCCCAAATGACTCCTGGACTTCCTGGAGGAAGGGTGCTACAACTTCCGGGCTCTGCATCTTAAAGAGGTATGAATCGAGGCAGGGTTAGGTCCTCACAAACTTCTGGATGGAAGGTCTCACCATCCAGGTTGTGTGTGTGTGTGTGTGTGTGTGTGTGAGACACAATCCAAAGGATCGGGGAAGGAGGGTGAAAGGGGGGGGGGAACTGATGTCCTAACAAACTTCTGGATGGAAGGTCTCACCACCCATGGGGTGTGCGTGTGCGTGTGTGTGTAACACAATCCAAAGGATCGGGCAAGGAGGGTGGAAGGGGGGGGGACTGCCCACACCTCCCAATCCAGCAATCCCTTCCCACGGTCCTCCCAGGCCAAAGCTCGAGCATCGGGGCTCACCTAGGCCTGCGGTCGCCCGTAGCAACGGCTCCCCGCGCTCCGCAGTTGGTCTCTTCCTCCCTGTCCCCCCGCGCCCCGCCGCGCTCTTGGTCTCTCCCGATTCCCCCGGGATCCCGCGCTGGGACCCCCCCCCCCGCGGCGGAGGCCCGCCCTGGCGTCGCCGGACGCCCCCCCGCGCGCAGGCGCACGTCGGCGTTTCCCGCCGCGCCCCCGCCCCCCCACCGGCCGTACCTGGTTGGTCACGTCCCCCGGGAGGCCTCGGATCAGTATCTTACGGCGGTTACGGAACTGGCGCTCGGTGTGTTCCAGGCGTTTCTGGATCTCTTCCGGATCTAGAGGCGGCAGCTCTTCCTCGGGTGCCCGGCGTTCCGCAGTATCAGGAGCTTCTACTTCGGCCCCGGGCTCCGGACTCAGCGGGGGCCGGTGAGTAACGGACACGTCGGCCGCCATCTTGGGAAACCCGGCGCCTTCTGGGACCAGCGAGTCAAGGCGGAGCGGCATAGAGCGGCAATGAAGGCGCGCCCTCCGATTGGCTAACCAAAGCCCCGCCTTCCCCTCGTCCCCCTCAGCCTATTGGCTAAGGCTCAGCCAGCCTCTCAGAGTCTGAGCTACGTCAGTAGCGCCAGAAGCTCCTCCCCCTTCCGCCTCGGCCAGGCCATTCAGGAGTTGCGCGATGTGGTGGGAACAGCTTGGCGGCGTGAATAGCAGACTCATGGGACTGAACACGGAAGTTGAGAGGATTTTATTGGTGGGGAACTGGAGCCAAAGTCCCTGCCCCGTCCTTGGCCCCGGATCCCGGCGTCCCGCCGCTCAAGGCACCTCCTCCGCCTCTGTCTCTTGAGGTGTCATCGTCGTGAGGGGTACGAAGGCGCTTTGCCTCGCCACGGGGTAGCTGCCTCTCCGCGATTTCGACCCGAAGACAAACATTAAGGCCACCGCGACAGTCAGCACCCCTAGGGTTGCTAGCACCCCTAAGACGATGCTTACCCTGGCGGGATTGCGTTCTGCACAGAAAAAAAATACATATGTATATATATTATATATATATATATTTTATATATATATATATACATTAATGGGCTTCTCTGGATCCTCAAGCCCTGGGTTTGTCCCTCTCCTCACCCTCCCCTTTTGACCTACCACGAACGTCAATCTCCACGGGCAAGGTGGCGGAGCCCATTGGACTCGTTGCCTGGCAACAGTAAACGCCACTATAATTTAGCCCGACGACGAATGGAATCCCGACGTGCACCACATTCCCAGAATCCTCCTGCAAACACTGCAACCTAGGGGCCGGATTGCCTCCGGCCTGGCACCGCAAGACCTGGGTAGTCTTCTCTTTCCACACCAAGTGTTGGGGACATTTGTCCCGGTCGATCTTGGGACCATCTGTGGAACCACCATGCGATCAGACAAGGGAAACTCCACACCGGGACGGTAAGGGTGAGGGATTAAAACAGATGTGAGTATATCAGGAGCCTACGGCCCACGTCTGTAATCCTATTCAGGAAGCTGTCATTTGAGGATCCCAGGTTTAAAGCCAGCCTGGGTGGACAAATCCCATGAGACACTTATTTCAGGTAACCACCAAAAAGCCAGAAGTGGAGCTGTGACTCAAGTGGTAGAACACAAACCTTATGCAAAAACAAGGAGGGGCAGGGCCTGAGGTCTAGCATTAAATAATTAATAGCCCAATGCCACAGTGACTTTCACTTTAATCCTAGCTACTCGGCAGGCTGTTATCTGAAGATTATGGTTTGAAGTCAGCCCTGACAGGGAAGTCTATGAGGAGCTTATCTTCATTTAATCAATAACAACAAAAGACCCGGAGCTGTGGCTCAAGAGTGGAAAGGCTAAGTGACAGCGCCCGGGCCCAGAGCTCAAGAACCAACACCGGCAATGAACAGTGACCAACTCACACAGGACAGACAGCCGGACAGTCGTGTTCTTATGCAGAAGGAGCCCGTCCACCTCAAGGGTGCCACTACAGAAGAAGTGGCGTCCGTCGTCGCGCTCAGTGGCATGCAGCTGAAGCTGGGCTGGCTGCCCCAGAAGGGGGATTGGAGCCCCATCCAGCATGACCTGGGTTCGGGGTCCGGCCATGCAAGTTACGTTCACTGTGGACCTCTCAGCAACCATGGCCTCACTCAGGTTCACAACGGGCTCCAGAAAGCCTGAAGACCAGAGGACAAAGCTGGGGAACTTCTGGCCTGCGATTGCCGCTTCCCCCACTGGGAGAGGGTCTCCAGGCCACGCCTTCTTTGCGGTGGATGTCTTCTGAGGTGGATGTCAGGCCCCGCCCACGCTGCACCCGGAGGACCTCCGGACAGGCCCCGCCCTCCCAAGTCAGCACCCTGCGCCCCGCCCCTTGCCCCGAGGCCCCACCCCACAAACCTCCCCCACTCATCCATGAGGCCCCGCCCTCCCAAGTCCCCGCCCCTCACCCAAGAGGCCCCACCCCACAAATCTCCCCCCTCACCCATGAGGCCCCGCCCTCCAAAGTCTCCACCCTCATCCTGCAGAGGTCCCGCCCTCTCAAGTCCCCGCCCCTTGCCCTTGAGGCCCCGCCCTCCAGTTTCCACACTCATTCTGCAGAGGCCCCGTCCTCCCGAGGCCCCGCCCCCTTATCCTTGAGGCCCCGCCCTCCAGTCTCCACCCTCACCCTGCAGAGGCCCCGCCCTCCCGAGGCCCCGCCCCTCAGCAGTTCGGGTCTGGGGACCCAGCTTACTGTAAACAGTCAAGTTCTTCCGGGCCTGGCGACTTTCGTCCCCCAGGGCCACGTTGCAGCTGATGTCCGTGGAACCCTCGTGGTGGGCGTGAGCCGTGGCCGTGGCTGTGAGCGTGTCCCCGCGGCTCGTGGCTGTGGGGTGCAGCCTCTGGCCCCCCAGCACCATGTGGACCTGGGCCTCAGGTGCCGGGAAGAGCCCATGGGCAATGCACCGCACCTGCGTGGACGACCCCACCTCCAGGATGGGCGGGGCCTCGAGGCGCAGGGGCCTCCCGGGCAGGGCTGGGGGGCACAGGGGCATGATTGAAGGCTGCAGGGGTCCCCCACACACAGTCAGGGTCCCCTTCTCTGCAGATGTCTTTCAGTCTAGCTCACGCGCCCCCCCCCTCCCGGGCTCCCAGACCCTTCCAAGGGCAAGCTTTCCCCCGAAGACCCCAGCTCATCACCCAGCCTCTGCCGCCCTCCCTCACCGAAGGTTCGCAGCTGCCTGGGGGCCGAGGTGTTCTGGAACAATCCCAGCCCGTGTGGCCGCAGATCCAGTTCCGTGGCACAGGAGAAATTGGCACCGTGATCGCTCCTGCGGGCCAGCACGGTGGCTGTGACCACAGCCGGCTCCCCCAGCACGGGCTGCCGGCTCAGCTCCTCCTCCCCGCGGAGCAGCACCGCGCTGAGCTGGGCCCGGGGCTCCCCGCCCGCCACCAGGCAGCTCAGGGTGAGGTTCTGGCCCACCGGATGCCAGGGGGGCAGGGGGGCCAGCTCCACCGTCTCTGGGAACCCTGGCGGAAGAGTGCTGAATGGCACTGGGCAGTCCCCCCTGCAATCCTCCCACCCCACAGACTGAAGGGGAAACAGGATTTTCCTGCTCTGATCTGTGATCTAGGAGGCCCCCCCCATACTCCCTCCCCAACCCAGGGCCTTGTCCTTGCCCCAGTCTGCTAATGAGCCCCGCCCCAGCCTGTGAGCTTGGAGTGAACACAATGCACCAGCAGAAGTGTTTGCCTGTCATTAATGGCAGGATTATTTCCTGTGTTGTCAGGCACCCTGCCAATGTTGGAGCTCAGAAAACCATGCCTAGGGGGCTGGGAAGGTGGCTCAGTGGTAGTATGCTTGCCTAGCATGCATGAAGCCCTGGGTTTGGTTCCTCAGTACCACATACACGGTAAAAGCCAGAAGTAGTGCTGGGGCTCAAGTGGTAGAGTGCTAAATTTTGAGCACAGAGAGGTTCAGAGACAGAGTCCAGACCCTGAGTTCAAGCCCCAGGACTGGCCAAAAAGAAAAGAAAAACCCACACCTAAGCTGGGTGCCTGGGGTTCTGGCCTGTAATCCTAGCTACTCAGGGGCTGAGATCTGGGTTTCCCTGTTTGAAACCAGTGGAAGACTCATCTCTAATTAACAAGCCAGGAGCCTGGCACCTATGACTCACACCTGTCATCCTAGCTACTCAGGAGACTGCGATCTGAGGATCGAGGTTCAAAGCCATCCCAGGCAGGAAAGTCCGTGAGACTCTGATCTCCAATGAACCACCAGAAAACCAGAAGTGGCGCTGTGGCTTAAGTGGTAGAGCGCTATCCTTGAGCTGAAGAGTTCAGGAACAGCCCAGAGTTCAAGCCCCACAACTGACAAAAAAAAAAGTCTCACAGACTTCCCTGCCAGGGCTGGCTTTGAACCATGATCCTCAGATCTCAGCCTCTTGTCTCGCTAGGATTATAGGCGTGAGCCACCAGAACCTGGCGGAGCTCTTTTGTTAAAGGCAAGCCATAGCACCACTTCCAGTTTTTTGGTGGTTTAGTGGAGATAAGAGTCTCAGGGACTTTCCTGCTCGGGCTGGCTTTGAAGCATGATCCTCAAATCTCAGCCTCTTGAGTAGCTCAGTTGACAGGCATGAACCACCAGCACCTAGTTAGTCCATCATTTGACTGAGATGAATGTCTGTGTATCTTTGTCTGTGTCTGTCACATACACATAGGCCCATGTCTAAGTTCTGAGGCAGAGCGCAGACCCGTCTTCTCTCCCCCCCCCCCCGCCCCATCACATCTACTCACGGAACACCATGATTTCAGATGTGGCTGTCATCTGGGAGCCATTACAGTATCCGGAGCAAAAGACTTGGCTGCTGACGGTGATGTTGCTGAGCTGGAAGGCCGCCCACCGCACACCATGACCCGCAGGGACCTTCTCAAGCAACGTCTCCAGCGAGAGGAGCTCAGGCTGGGGACAGTCCATGCTGCAGTTCACTACCAGGGTCCCTCCAGCCAGAAGCACAGGGTCTCGGGGCTCCACCCGCAGAAGGGAGCCCCGCGCTAGGTCTCCTTGAGGAATAGGAGGGGATTCAGTGGGGGTACCCCAAATCCACCCTGCATAGATTCTCTCCCTCAAGCAAGAACACTCACAACCATGCAGTAGAGGAAGACAAAGGATTGATAAGAGAGGCCAAGGGCTGGGCACAGTGGCTCACGCCTGTAATCCCAGCTACTCAGAAGGCAGAGATTAGGATAATTATGTTTCAAACCCAATCAGGGCCAAAAATTAGTGGGACCCCCCCCCCAATCTCAGTAAGTTGGGCATAGGAGGGCATGTCTCTCATCCTAGTGAGACAGCTGTAGGTAAGTGAATTGTTGTCTGAGAAAATCGGGGTGGTGGAAGACCCTCTAAAACTAAAACAAAACAGGCTAGACACATGGGCTCACATAGTAGAGCATCTGCCTGGCAAGGATGAGGGCTGGAATTCAGTCCTCAGAACTATCAAAGTAACAAAAAGGGGGCAGGTATCGCCCAGCACTGGTAGCTCACTCCTGTAGTCCCAGCTATTCAGCAGGCTGACATATGATTACAGTTCCAAGCCATCCTAGCTTGGTGAGAACAAACAAAGAAATCTCAGGGACAATGCCCAGGCCCAGAGTTCAATTCCCCACAACTGATAAAAAAAAAACCCTCAACTTTGGAACTAGAACTTTCTCCTGGGGAGACCAGCTTGAGTGAGCAGGAAATAACCGGGGTGGCAGATTGTGCCCATACTTCCCTTTATTTCTGAGTCCCCTTCGACCCCCCCCAACCCTGAGCCCAGCCCTGTGTCAGCTCACCCAGGGCCAGCAGACAGCAGGCCAACAGCTGGAAGATGAGCAGGGCGCGGCCGAGTGGCAGCCCGGCGGGCGCCATGGTGGGCAGGCTGAGCAGGCTGAGCGAGGAAGGGACCGGGGAAGGGGTGCTGGGAGGGGCCGAGGGAGGGCGGCGGAAGCCGGGGCGGTCAGGGTTGGAGCAATCAGGGCTGCACCTTTCACCAGGCCTGGCATCTTGAAGTGGTGAGGTTCCGGATCTGGGGTGATGTAAGTTGGGGATCCCTCAGAGAGAGACACAGTTGGGAGTTGGGGGGAAACATTCCACAGGCCTCAGATGTACCTCAAATTTGTTGTTCCCTCAAATTCACAGAATTGGCAGTTGCTCTTGTTCTCAGTACCCAGAAACTGTGGGTTTGGGGCTGGGGAGGGGGGGTTAAGGGGGGGGAGGTGAGAAAACTTCCGGCTGAACTTGTAGCATAGGGTGACTTTTGTCTGTAGAGAGGAAGTTAAGGGGGTCAGGAGATCTAGGTGAGATTTTGTTTCTTCTATTTTCCCTTTCTGTTTCTCAGAAGGCATCTAGCCTTGCTTCCCAGGCTGGCTTCAAGAAATCCTCCTGCCTCAACTCCATCCCCTTCCCCCAGTAGCTGGGATTACAGGTGTGTGCTACTATACCGGGCTAAAGGCAGGATTGCAAGGCAGCACTGCAAAGGGGACAACAATGGGAGCAGTGCCAGACGTGCTTCAGAGGGTCTGTACGAGATGATGGCATTCAGGGAGGGGCCAAGGAAAGACTTGCGGATCCCAGGTGCTGGTGGTGTGTAGCTCCTGAGATCTGAAGATCATGGCTCCAAGCCAGCCCAGGCAGGAAAAAAATCTGTGAGACTATCTCCAGTTAAGCACCAAAAAAGTAGGAAACGGATCTGTGGTTTGTGTGCTAGAGCACTAGCCTTGAGGGAAAAAGCACAGGGCCAGTGCCCAGGCCTTGAGTGTGAGCCCCAGGAGAGCAACAACAACAAAAAAGAATTTGGGGGCTGGGAATGCGGCTCAGTGGTACAGTTACTTGCCTAGCATGCATGAAGCGGGGTTCGATTCCTCAGTACCACAGACACAGAAAAAGTCAGACATGGTGCTGTGGCTCAAGTGGTAGAGCGCTAGCCTTGTTGGCTTAGTGTTTGGTTTTGTTCTTTGAGACAGAATTTTGGTCTGTAGCCCAGACTGGCTCAGACTCTTAATCCTGGGATTACAGGTTAGTATCACTACACCTGGATCAAGAGGATTGTGTGTGTGTGTGTGTGTGTGTGTGTGTGTGTGTGTGGTAAACTCCCGCTAGGCAACAGTGCTGTCAGTGAGCTACATGCACAACTCTTTCAGACAGTGTGTTACCTCTAACTGAGATGGAGCCCAAGACGGCTGGGATTACTAGCGTGATGCACTGCTCTCGGCCACATAGTCTTCAGAAGTGCTTTTTGAAGAAGGTAATGATGGCATTGCCGTGCACAGATGCGTGTGACTCAAGCAGCAACGGTGACAAACAACCAGGGTCACAAAATGGAATGTTTATTACCACCATTTCGGGGCCACTCCCAGCATTCCTCCACATCGGTCCTGCGAGGTAGCAAACACGGCCGTTCCCACAGGCGCAAAAGTGAGGCCCAGAGAGGCCGGGCCAGCGTTACCTTAGGCCGCACAGCACACACCGGTCCAGCCCGGCCGCGTCCTACCCAGCGGGAAGGTGGCTCCGCACATACTTTGGGCATTTAACAAGTCATTACTGAGCGCCTTCTGCGTACCGGAAACTGATCAGTTGGTGATTTAGCCTTTCTTGTGTGTGTGCGCTTGTGTTGGGTGCTGAGGATGGAATCCAGGGCATCTTGTAGGCTAAGCTTAATGCTGTGCCACTGAGTTATACCCCAGCCTAGCTAGTGGCTTAGGGGTGAGCAGAAGTTTAAAAGTTAGCTGGGTGCTGGTGGCTCATGTCTGTCATTCTAGCTACTCAGGAGGCTGAGATCTGAGGATCGCGGTTCGAGGCCAGCCCAAACAGGGAAGTCTGTGAGACTCTTATCTCCAATGAACCACCAAAAAGCCAGACGTGGAGCAGGGGCTCAAATGGTAGAGTGCTAGCTTTGAGAAAAACAAAACAAAACAAACAAAAAAACCTCAGGGACAGCCCCCAAGCCATGAGTTCAAGCCCCAGGACTGGCACACAGAAAAACAAGTTTACAGAAGTGGAGGTGTCTAGACTGTAGGTCCGGGAGGCCTGCTCTGGGCGCTGACCTGTCCCCACGCTTCAGCACACACTGAACACCGAAGGGGCCTGGGCCTGGTACTTGTCATGAGCCATCTTGAGGATGGGAATGAGGTTCTGGAAGGTCGGGCGGAAGGAGGCCTCCAGTTCCCAGCAGTTCTTCATGAGGAGATAGACCTAGGGCGGGAGAATAGGGCGATGGGGTGCTGCTCGCCTGTGGGGGGCGGTGGGGTGCAGGGGACCCGGCTCACCTCACTGGGGCATTTGTCGGGCCGCGGCAGCCTCTCTCCTCGTTCCAATAACTCGGTGAGTCTCAGCACTGTCATCTGGCCCTGGGTGAGGCCGATGAGCTCGAAGAATTTCTACGGCATAGAAAGACGACGCTGCCAGGGTGAGAAGCCTGGGTAGCGGCTGGGGGCTTGGCTCTCCACTGTGAGGGTTCAAATCCCACCTTGGCTGCAGGACTGTGGCTCTGCCCAGAAGCCATTTTTCCTGTTTTTGCTTTTTGTTGTTTTTTTTTTTTTGGAGGCAGTCCTGGGGCTTGAACTCATGGCCCTGACACTGTTCTGAGCATTTTTTTTTCTCCCTCAAGGCTAGTGTTCTATCACTTGAGCCACAGCTCAAGTGGTGATAGAAGTGAATGGTGGTGCTAGGAATCTCACAGACTTACCTTGCCAGGCTGGCTTTGAACCTCGATCCTCAGATCTCAGCCTCCTGAGTAGCTAGGATGACAGGCGTGAGCCACTAGCGCCCGGCTATGTTTCCTTTTGGTGTTGGAGATGGAACCCAGGGTCACTTGCACACTCTCCAAGCCCTCTACCATTTAAGGCTCCCTCCCTCCAGTGGTCTCTCCCTCGCTTTATCCCTCCTCCTCTTCCCTTCTCACTATGCCTAGGCTGGCTTCTAACTCATGATCCTTAGGGCATCAGGGATCACAGCTATGAACTATCAAACCCAAATGGATAAACTTAAAAAAATTCAAGCCACACGGTGGCTCATGGCTGTCATCCCAGTTCCTCAGGAGGCTGAGATCTGAGGATCGTGATTTGAAGGCAGCCCAGGCAGGAAAGTCCCTGGAGACTCGTATCTCCAATAAACCATTAAAAATCCAGAGGTGGCGCTGGGGCTCAAAGTGGTAGAGCACTAGCCTTGAGCAAAAGAGCTCAGGGACAGCGCCCAGGCCCTCAGGTCAAGTTCCATGCCCAACAACAACAACAAAATTAAGATGTGGGTCTTGCTATGTTGCCCAGGCTGGTCTAGAACTCTTAGGATTCAGTGCTGCTCCTGGTTCAATCTCCAGTAGCTGGGGCTATGAAGACTGTGTTCTGAATAACAGAACCTTCTCCTGGCTGCCCCACCCACATCGGGCCTGGCCATTCACAGTGGCTCATGGCTATTCAGTGATTGGTTACCAAATGCACATAGGGCCAATCAGAGAAAGTCATGGAAATTACACCAGAAAAAGGAGAGGGGGGGGGGTCGCTGTGGCCACAGAAAAGGCTCATCTTGTTTGTCATGCTACCATGACAAGCCATTATGGAATAAGCCCTCAAGTCTGGCTGGGATGTATCTCAGTGGCAAAGTGGTCGTCTAGCAAGTGCAATGTCCTGGGTTCGATTCCCCAGTAAAATAAAGAAAAAGCCAAAAATCCAAACAAAAGATCTCAAGTTCGGAGCTTGCTGGGGTTACATAGTGAGACCCTGCCAAAACGAACTAACAGCCAGGCACTGGTGGCTCATGCCTGTAATCCTAGCTACTCAGGAGACTGAGATCTGAGGATGGCGGTTCAAAGCCAGCCCGGGCAGGAACGTCCATGAGACACTTTTTTTTTGTCGGTTGTGGGGCTTGAACTCGGGGGCCTGAGTGCTGCCCCTCAGCTTTTCAGCTCAAGACTAATGCTCTACCACTTGAGCTACAGCACCACTTCCGGTTTTCTGGTGGTTCATTGGAGATAAGAGTTTCATGTAGGGCTGGGAAGGTGGCTCAGTGGTAGAGCGCTTGCCTTGCATGCCTGAGGCCCTGGGTTCCATTCCTTAGCACCACATAAGCAAAAAGAAAAAAGCCGGAAGTGGCGCTGTGGCTCAAGTGGTAGAGCGCTAGCCTTGAGCTGAAGAGCTGAGGGACAGCGCCCAGGCCCAAAGTTCAAGACCCACAGCCCCACAACCGACCCCCCCACCCCCTGCCAAAAAAAAAGCCTGAACTATAAGCAGCCCATGTTAAATATCAGAATTGTAAGGCACTTGCTAGGATAGAGAGGGGGGTTTTGTTTTCTTGGTATTAGGGATTGAACCCACCTGCTAGGTAAGTACTCTACCACTTAAGCTATACCCCAACTCTGAACCCACCTGCTAGCACTCTACCACTTGAGCTACACCCCAACTCTTATTTTGTAAGAAAGGGTTGTGCTGCTTTTTTTTTGTCCAGACTGGCCTCAAGCTCTTGATCTTACTGCCTCAACCTCCCAAGGATGTGGTTTGACTGCCCACCTTCCCATTCGCGTGGGGTGGGGCTGGTGCTCACCGAAGGAGGGCTCTGGCTGGAGTCACAGTGTGTCAGCAGCTCGTAGAGTGTCACCCCAAACGACCAGACGTCAGATGCATAGTAGAACTTGCACTCCTTCAGGCACTCTGGGGCGTACCTGGGCGAGGAGGGGGGCCTCTCAGGGCTGAGGCTGTATTGAGTGTGGGAGTCCAGCTCTCATGGGGTGGGGGGGGCGGGGAGGACGCCGTCCCTGGGGAAGATCTAATTGGGCCAAGCCCAGCTGGCTCCGCCCCCCTCAAGTCCCTAGGCCACACCCAGCTCCCCTAGTATCCTATCAGGCCCTTCCGCAGGCTGCTGCGCTACTGCTATTCCAAATGGCATCTCCCTCACACTGCGACACCCCCCCTCCCTTGGTCACCAGAACACGGGGCTGTCCCCATCCTCGCGCACGCGGTAGTACTCGTGGCCTTCAGGCACGGCCTTGGCTAGGCCAAAGTCCCCGATCTTGACCAGCCTGTCGTTGTCCAGCAGCACGTTGCGCGCGGCTAGATCTCGGTGGATGTAGTGCTGGGCGTGCAGGTAGGCCATGCCCTAGGGGCGGGGCGGGGCAAGTCAGGGGTCGTTCGGGCTTGCGGGTGGGGGTAGCAGTGGGTGGCAGGGCCTGAATTGATGGCCAGGGCGACAAGGGGACAGGTTGAGTCTGTAGGGGACCCGGTCAGGTTGGGAGGGCAGGATGGCAGGTGGAGCTAGAGGGTACAGGCGGATGCGGGATGGGAGTGGCCAGGATGGTGGGCGTGGTCTGATTAATGGGCGTGGCCAATACGGTGGGCGTGGCCAGACAAGTGGAACCAGGCTGGTGAGGGGTAGGACCTGTGTTAGGCATTGCAGAAGGGGGTTGGGGAAGCGCAGGGGCAGGTCAGTCCAAGGACAAGATGATCAGGCCTAATGAGCAGGTTCAGACTGGACAGGGCTGGTCCAGGGCAGGGAGATAGCAGAGGTAACAGGCTCTGGAAGCAGGGGTTCAGCCCGGCCCACCTTGCAGATCTGCTGGGCGAAGAGCAGCAGCTGAGCCAGCCCGACGCTGTGCCGGGGCAGGTAGTCCCGGAGGCTACCCAGAGGTACGTACTCCATGACCAGCTGCACCGACTTCTCGCCTGGCATGGAGGAGGCGGGGCCATGGTAAGAAGGCAAAGTCACTACCCACCCACATATGCCCAAGGCCCAGTGTGTGAGGGGAGGGGAAAGGTCCTGGGGCTTGAACTCAGGGGTGGAGGCATTGTCCCTGAGCTTTTCTGCCCAAGGCCAGTTGCTCTACCACTTGAGCCACAACTCCACTTCCAGTTTTTCCGCTATTTAGTTGGAGATAAGAGTCTCAGGTGCTGGTGGCTCATGCCTGAAATCTTAGCTACTCACTCAGGAGACTGAGATGTGAGGATGGTGGTTGTAAGCCAGCCCAGGCAAGTCCCTGTGAGACTCTTCTCTCTAACCATTCAAAAACGGGAAGTGGCACTGGGGTTCAAAGTGCTACCACGCTAGCCTGGAGCACAAAAACTCAGGGATAGCACCCAGGCCCTACAACCAAACCAAAACAACAACCTCTCACGGACTTTCCTGCCCAGGCTGGCTTCCAACTGCCCATCTCAGATCTCAGCCCCCTGGGTAGCTAGGATTGACAGGTGTGAGCCACCAGCGCCCCCACTGGACCTCAATCCATTCAAGGGAAGAGCAGCCTGCCTGGCCACGCCCACTTGTGCGTCACGACATTCTAGTTGGCCGGAGAGGCCCCGCCCACCCGCGCCCAGCCAATCGCCACCTGGCCCCGCCCACCTGGGTCCTCGCAGCAGCCCTTGTACTTGACGATGTGCTCGTGGTAGAGCGTGCGCAGGATGTCGATCTCCCGCCGCCAGCCCGAGCGGAGCTGGGGCCCGCAGCCCGCCTTGAGGGCCTTCACGGCCACCATCTCCCCGGTGCCATCGTTGGTGGGGTCGTAGCAGTACAGGCTGACCTTGCCGAAGTGCCCCTGTGTCCGCAGGAGAGAGGGTCGGCCCTCAGCCTCCAGTTGCCAGGCCAGGCCTCTGGAATGATCCATTTTGGAAGTCCTGGCCCCCCGCCCAGCCCTGAGATGGAGGCCCTCCGGGCTGCATGCACCCGGGCCTCGGCTGCGGGCTTTGCATCCACAGGTGAGACACCTTTGCATCACCCCCAGACCCTCCCCCCTAGGGACCACCTGGCTTCAGAAGACCCCCCCATGCCCCCGGCCCCCCCTTACCTCGCCCAGATCCCGAATCTTTTTCAAATATCGCTTGTGGAACACCGTGGGGTCCGAGGCCGGGGAGTCAGGGTTCACGGTAGAGATATCCACTAGATCTGTTAGAGCCACAGTGGGGTGTGTGTGTGTGAGAGAGAGAGAGGGGGGGACCTCCAACCCACTCTGGGGGATCACAAGGTGAGCCGCTGCTCCTGGGCATCATTCCCGCCCCCTCCCCTCCCCCAGCTGCCTGTATGTGCCTCTGTATGGAGACCTCAGGGGCCCACCCCTGTCCATCCCCACTCCCCAGGGGCCCAGCGCGGCCCTGAGGCTCACTGTGGGGCTGCAGCCGAGTGAGGTCGCGCAGAATGGTGCGGAAGGACGGCCGCTGGGCAGGTTCATAGGTCAGGCACTGGCTGGTGAGTGTGGCCAGCTCAGGGCACGAGGGCTCGGGTAGCTGGTGTTGCTTCTGGTAGAAACGCTCTTTCTACATACCAGGGGAGGGGGGGGAGCGGTGAGCACCCCATCTAGGACATCCTTTTCCAAGAGCCCAGCCAAATTCTGGGAGCATAAGGCCCCCAGCTAAGTGTCTGACTCTCTTCATTCCCAAGTGTTACAGGAAGGGGAGGCTCCCAGAGAGCAGCAGAGACAAGTTCCAGGTTCCTTGTGGGTTCTTAGTGCCCTGGCTTCCACCCACCCTTGAAGCCTGTGGTGATTTGTAATACTGCTTCCTCAATGCTTGAAGGCCTCAGGGCCTTTGCACAGGCTGGACCATATAGTTACCCTTTCTAGCCATGCACAGCGAGCTAATTCTGTACTTTTTTTTTTTTTTTTTGGTACTTAAAACTGAACTCAGTGTGAGGCAGGCACTCTACCACTTGAACCACACCACCAACCCTTTTGGCTTATAATTTTTTGGATAGGGTCCTGAGATTTGTTGTTGATGTAGGCGGTGATCCAGGGGCTTGAACTCAGAGCCTGGTGGTGCCCCTGAGCTCTTTCATTCAAGACTAGTACTCTACCACTTTGAACCATAGTGCCACATCCGGTTTTCTAATTGGAGATACAAGACTCACAGACTTCCTGCCTGGGCTGGCTTCAAACTGTGATCCTCAGATCAAAGCCTCCTGAGTAGCTAGGATTAGAGACATGAGTCCCAAGTCCCAAGTCTTGAGATTTGTTTTTACTCCTACTTCTGCCTCCTAATTACCTGGATTACAGGTATAAACTCCCACACTTGTCCACTAACTAATCGGTAGAGTGCTTGCCTCACACCCTGGGTTTGATTCCTCAGCACCACATAAGCAGAAAAGGCAGGAAGTGGTGCTGTGGCTCAAGTAGTAGAGCGCTCACGTTGAGCTGAAGAGCTGAGGGACAGCGCCCAGGCCCGGAGTTCAAGCCCCACGACCGACAAAAAAGCAAAAGCACAGCGATGAACCCCAGGAGCTGGAGGCCCAGGGATGTCCTAGATGTACCTCAGAGGGGCCACGGCCCTGGAGGGGGGCTTCCCCATCAAAGCAGATCTCAAGCAGGGTGGCGCCAAACCCCCACTTGTCGGCCGCGGTGCTCAGGCTGTTGGCTCCGCCGGTCAGGCACTCGGGAGCCGTCCAGGGTATGCGCTCAACGCGCTCTGCGGACAAGGTCAGAGGTCACGGAAGGTGGAAAGAAGAAGGGACACCCCGTCCCTGGTGCCCTGCCCCGCAGGGGTACTCACCCTCTCTGGAGAGCGCCCCCAGGCCCACGCCTGGGTCACTCAACTTGATGAATGGGCTGGTGTCCTCTGCCAGCCCTGGCCTGGCTAGTAAGATGTTTCGGCCACACACATTACCGTGAACCAGGCTCTTGTCTTCCTGGGGGTGGTGGGAGACAGGAACGGAAAGGGGTGACCACAGACTGTGTCCCCAAACTCTATTGGCATTTATGTGCAAAGGGCACCATGGTCATTATGGGATGCCCATACTCTGGCATTGTAACCAGGCAATAGCACGAGGGGGCTGAGTTGGTGGCCAAGGCTCTTTCCAAGGACCAAAGGCCAGAAGACCCCATTGCTAATCTCATACCTGTGCCAGGCACCCTCCTGCCCCAGGGCCTTTGCATTCCCCTGATACATTCTCCCACCCCCATCCTTCCCACTCCTTCCCCCACCTCCATAATGAGTGAGACCTTCCCCAGCCCACCTATTTATTCATTTATTTTTGAGACATGGCACTCTGTAGCCTCAGGCTGACCTAGAATTCCCCGTTCACCTGTCTAAGCCTCTGGAGTGCTGGGATTATAGATGTGTGCTAGCATGCCTATCTTATTTTGAGATAGGGTTTTCTTATGTTGTTTTATTTGGGGGGGGGATTGGCTGGCCTCCATCTGTGATCCTCTTATCTCTGCCTCCCAAGTAGCTGGAATTATATCAATGAGCCACCATACCCAATGTACACCGTATCATTTTATAGAAGGAACTTGAACATTCAAGAACCCCAGAACCCATAAGGAACTATGAACGATGAATTGTCCTTGTCTCTTCCCAACAAAAATCCCAGGTCCCAAGCCAGGCGCCGGTGACTCAGGCCTGTAATCCTAGCTACTCAGGAGGCTCAGATCTGAGGATCATGGCTCAAAGCCAGTTGGGGCAGGAAAGTCAGTGAGACTCTTATCTCCAATAAACCACTTGAAAACCGAAAGTGGCGCTGTGGCTCAAGCAGTAGACCACTCGCCTTGAGCTGAAGAGCCCAGGGATAGAGCCCAAGTCCAGAGTTGAAGCCCCATGACTGACAAAAAAAAAAAAAAAATTCCCAGGTCCTAGTTTAGGGTGTGGCTCAAGGGGTAGAGAGCCGGCCTGGAGCACAGCACAAGGCCCTAAGCTTAAGCCCTATTACCAGCCCAAAAAAGAAAGAGAAGCTAGGTGCCAGTGATCCTAGCTAATTAGGAAGCTGAGATCTGAGGATCATAGTTCAAAGGCAGCCCGGGCAGGAACATCTGTGAGACTCCAATGAACCACCAAATGTTGGAAGTGGTGCTGTAGCTCAAGTGGTAGAGTGCTAGGCTTGAGCAGAAAAGCTCAGGGACAGCGCCCAGGCCCAGAGTTCAAGTCCCAGGACACACAAAATAATAATAATAATAAAAGGCAGTCAAAGCCAGATACCAGCTTGTGGAGTAGGGCTGTGTGTGTCCTCTCCCCAGACAATGCCCAGGCTCCCCAGCCCCTCTGGCTGACAACAGTGCCACCTGCAGGCCACATACCAGGTAGCTGAGGGCACTGGCCAGCTGCTGGGTCACTGCCACCTTCCAGGCCATGGGCACGTGGCCCCGCTCTCTCCGCAGCCACACATCCAGGGGCCCGTGTTCCACGTACTCCGTCACCATGATGTCTGCGAAGATCCAGCTGCTCCAGGACCCTCCCCTCCCCACATCTCCCATCTGCCCCCTTCTCCAGGGGCCGGGGCAGAATGTCGGGGTTGGGGAAGGTGTGGGGGGGGAGGAGTGGTTTAGGAGAGACTCACAAGAGAAATGGGGGGATGGAGTGGAAGGATGACTACACACTTGGGTCCCATTATGGAAAGACTGGGATCCCACTGTTTTTTTTTGAGGGGGGGGTCAGTTGTGGGGTTTGAACTCTGGGCCTGGGTGCTGTCTCTTAGCCAGACTTTTCTGCCCCAGGTGGTTTTGAACTGCGATCCTCAGATCTCAGCCTCCTGAGTAGCTAAGATGACAGGCGTGAGCCACAGAAGCCTGGCTTGGGATCTATTTAAGACTCCTGGAGGGCCCCATGGGGAGGGGTAATGGATAGCACCAGCTCTAAGTAGGCTGCATGGCAGAGCTAGAGGTGTGGGAGGATTGGGGGGTGGGTCACAACAGGACTGGGGGACTGCATGGGCCACTGTGCCCCTACGGTTGGAAGGTTGATGGGGACTGGGGTGCAGAAGGCAAAGTGGAAGATGGAGATGTGGGTGTAGCTAGCCATCAGGGGGTAGATGGAAAGTTGGAGTACAGATGAGGGCAGGCAAAGTGTAATCTGGGGTTAGGATGTAGGAAGAGAGTTGGCATACAGTCAGGGGTGGGTGAAGGAGGGGTCAAGGTTAGCTCAGAGTCAGGATCCAGGCCATGTTTGGGTAATCAAAGGGGCCAGGGGGAGGGGGGGTGGCTCAGAGAACATGCAAAGCCTGGAGTGGGGGTACAGCCAGGGAAATGGGTGTGTCTGCAAAGGGCTGTGGGTGTGGATGGGGTCGCACTCACTCTCGGAGCCACGCACACACACGCCGTGCACAAAGGCCAGGTGTGCATGGGAGACCTGGCTCATGAGGCTGGCAGTCTCGTAGAAGGCCTGTGGGAACGGGGCAGGTCGTGGGGCTGCAAAGCTTCCCTCCCACCGCTTGTCCCGTTCCCCTCCCCACGACAGCCGGCTCAGGGCTGGTGGCTCGCTCTCACCAGGGCGATGTCGTGGTGACTGGGGTCCAGGACTTTAAGCACCACGCGTAGCTCCTGCCCACGGCCTCCACATGGTTCCAGGGAGATCCCACTGTCCACTTTGTCCTCCTCCTCCTCCTCAGGGACCCCCACACGTAGGAGGCCCTCGTACACGTTCGTTCTTGTACCCTGGCCCAGGTGGGAGAGCTGTGGGAAGCCGCACAGGATAGGACCTTAGGCCTGGCTGGCACCATCGGGCAGCAGCCAGGGGCCCGCCCACCGCACGCCCCGCCCACGAACACGGCCAGTGATTTGAAATCCTGGGACCCAGCCCTTAGGCCAAGCCCCGCCCACCAGAGCCTGTAGCCACGCCCACTGATGTGCTTTTAGTGGACTTGATGGCCACGCCCACTTGGGGAGTGTTGCATCCCATTGGATCCGGTATCCCAGCCTCCTCTGGCTAGCCCCACCCTGCGACGCTGGCCGCCCCGCCCACCACGGCCACACCCACCTGGGTGATCTCGTCCTGATGCACCCGGTGGAAGCTGAGCTGGCTGAGATTAGGCGGCTGGCTGTTGGGCCGCGACCCCCGCATGATGAGGAGGTTGGAGATTTCTAGGGGCAGAAGCGAAATCACAAGATAGGGGCTGGCTGGGAAGGGGGTAAAGAGATGCCAGGCCCAGACTCTGGTCCCCACCCTCCGCATCTACCTCCAGGTCGGGGCAGGCAGCAGCGGCGCAGGGGGAAGCAGTCCTCGCCAGCCCGCAGGGCACAGCCCTGCAAAGCCACCCGCAGCTCCCTGATGCTGGCAAAGGAGCGGTCCCAACCCTCCAGCACAAAGGCCCCGGCCTCTTGCAGGATGGGGAACTTCCGGAGGCGCAAGCCCCGCACCCCGGGTGCCTGCGGTGGGAGGAAGGGACAGTGAGCAGAGAGCTGAGCAGACAGTGTGGCCCAGCCAGGCTCCCGTCAGCCACCCCTCGCCAGCCCAGGCCCACCGAGTCACGCTGGGCCACTGTGAGGATGAGGCGGTACAGGTGGTTAGTGCTCCAATGAATGAGGTACAGCCCGTCTTCTGGCCGCAGCTTCGCTTGCACAAACGGATCCCTGAAGGGGAAACAAGAGGGCTTAATGAAGCGAGGGGCCAGGAGCTCACACCTGTAATCCCTGCTATTCAGGAGGCTGAGATCTGAGGATCAAGGTTCAAAGCCAGCCAGGGTAGGAGTCTGAGACTTATCCCCAAAGAACCACCAAAAAGTCAGAGCAGAGCTGTGGCTCAAGTGGTAGGGCTCTGGCCTTGAGTGGAAAAAGACAAGCAAGAGCGTGAGTCCCTAAGTTCAAACCCCAGTATGGGCACACATACACACAAAAATAACCAGAGCAAGCTGGGTGCCAGTGGCTCACGCCTGTCATCCTAGCTACTCAGGAGGCTGAGATCTGAGGATCACAGCTCAAAGCCAGCACGGGCAGGTAAGTCTTTAAAGACTCTTATCTCCAATGAACCACCGGAAAACTAGAAGTGGCGCTGTGGCTCAAGTGGTAGAGCGCTCCCCTTGAACTGAAGAGCTGAGAGACAGCTCAGAGACCCAGAGTTCAAACCCCTCAACCAACAGAAAAAGAAAAATAATCAGGGCAAAACAGGGCTGGAAGTGTGGCTCAACCAGTGTGCCAGCCTAGCACGCTTCAGGCTCTGAGTTCAATCTTCAATATCACCCCCCCAAAAAAGCACAACAAAAGTACAAATGGACAGTAAAAGCTGTTGGACACGTAGGTGGTGCCAATCACAAACATAAGAGACAAATACAAGCAGTTAAACATCCAAGGAAACGGGCTGACAGCTCCAGAGTGACACTTTCACCATGACGTGCTACCACACCTAGCCCGGGTACCCACACCACCCAAGCCCTCATCTACGCACGTGCCCCATATGCACACGTGCATGTGTGGGTGTGCACAAATGCGTATAAAATACAGCATGCATGCATGAGTGTACCACATGTGTGCATGTACAGGACACATACATGTTGCACACATGTCCATGTCTGTGAGCGCACTGAGTGCCATGCATGTGAGTGCTACAGACACATTGCACACTTAAGCATACACGCCCACACCCGGGCACATGTATCCCTGGGACAGGTGGGTGTTTGCCCCTGCACACTCACAGACACATGTGCACAATTCCTGGAAACACGTATGCATGCTGATGAAGGCAAACCCTGTGCACTAAGGACCACACACACAAATTAGAGCTGACACCTCTATGTGGACAGTGCACATGCACTCAACAGTGAACAGGTTCCCAGATACGCCCCCCCCCGCCCCGCCGTGTGCTGGCCACGCCCCTCCTGCCGGTGCCCCGCCCCAGCGTGCCGACCACGCCCCTCCCTGCCCCAGTGCGCCGACCACGCCCCTCCTGCCGGTGCCCCAGCCCCATTTGCTGAAGTGCCCACTCTGCTCCTGCCCCGCCCCAGCGTGCTGGCCACGCCCCTCCTGCCAGTGCCCCGCCCCAGCGTGCCGGTGCCCCGCCCCTGCCCCGCCCCTCACAGCAGGGGTCCGTGGATGCCATCCTGGATGCTCATCACCAGCCGGGGCGGCGCCACCTCGTGGCACAGGTAGTGGCTGGAGTCGGCCGTTAGGCGGAAGTAGCCGTCCACCAGCGCCACGAAAGACAAGGCGCTGGCCCGAGAAAGCAGGCTGAACTCCTGTGGGCCAGGGAGGCGTCAGGTGGGCAGTGGGGGTCGGAGCTGCCCCGCTGCCCCTCCCCCGGGCTGCGGCCCGGGCCGCACCAGGCACTGGTTGTCCTGCCGGCGGATGCTGACGCGGCTGTCTGTCAGCACCACGTGGGAGATGTCTTGGAAATCACAGAAGTAGGTCCAGGGCGACTCCCAGGGCCTGCCCACCACCTGCTGTCCCGCCGGGTGGGCCTTGCCTTTCTTCCGGGACGGGCGGGCCTGGGGGTTCCTGCTGCCGCCATTGCCGCCCTTGGAATCCTGGGAACCCAGCCCCTGGGGTAGAGACATAGGGAACAAGGCCTGTTGACTTAACTCAGGGCTTTGCGCTCTTGAGATTCTACCACTTGACTCACAATTCCACTTCTGGCTTTTTGGTGGTTCATTGGAGATCAGAGTCTCACAGACTTTCATGCCCTGGCTGGCTTCAAATCATGATCCCTTAGATCTCAGCCTCCTGAGTAGGTAGAAGCTCAGGAGAGAGCTACTGGAGCTAAAAGTTTGGTTTTGGTGGTACTGGGGTTTGAGCTCAAATCCTAATGCTTGTAAGGAAGGTGCTCTACCACTTGAGCCACGTCCCAAGCAGCCTATGAAGCTCAGGTAATCCTCCGCCTTAGGCTATAGATTAGCTGGAATGGGAGGTTAACAGGCCAGCCCATGCCCCACACATACATCATGCCTGATTATACCCCCAGGGGCAAGACAGGAGCTGGGGAACCTGCCACCTATGGCCACAAGTAATACAAACTATCCAGGGCAGAAGCCAGAATCTCTGGCAGAGCAGAAGAGAGACCCAACTCATCCACTCCCACCCTCCCTGCCACGTTCCAGCCTGGGCAAAAAAAGTCTGTGAGCCTCTCATTTCCAATTAACCACCAAGTGGTTCTGTAGCCCAAGTGGCAGAGCACCAAGCCTTGAGCAAAAAAGCTCAGGGAGAGTGCCCAGGCTCTGAGTTCAAGCCCCAGGATGAGCACAAAAACAAAAAAAAAAGTTCCCCAGGGCAGGGGTACAGATCAGTGGCTGATCGCCTGCCCGGCATGTGTGAGGCCCTGGGTTCTGTCCCCTGCACTGGGCCCCCTGGAGGTTCATGGCCCAGATATCAACTCGTAGAACAGAACACTAAAAAAAGTAGCTCCCAAAGCTGGGCGCTGGTGGCTCCAGCCTGTAATTCTAGCTACTCAGGAGGCTGAGATCTGAGAATCATGTAGTTCAAAGCCGTGTCCTGCGCAGGACAATCTGCAGAAATTGGAAATTTCTAAAGAGCCAGCAAAAAGCCGGAAGTGGGGCTGTGACTCCAATGGTAGAGCACCAGCCCTGAGTACAAATGCACAGCAACAGCGCCCTGGCCCTGAGTTCAAGCCAAGGACCAAGACACACAGACACACAGACAGACAGACAGACACACAGACACACGAGTTCCCAAGCACAGAGGGCCCTGGGCAGCCTCACCGGGGATGAATGGAGACACCCCCTTCCCTCCCACCCGCGTGGCCCGGCTCACCTCGGCCTGCACCGGCCGCCACTGGATGCCCCCCGTGCCGGTCACCTGCACCTCG